AAACTTCTAAAGTAGTGAGTTCTACTTGATTTTCTCTTTAGTAAGACCAGCATAGGGATGCCATTAATCTCAAAGCCAGTCTACTGACAACACAAGTTAACAGAATCATAGAATAGTTAGGGTTGGAAAGGACCTTAAAATCATCAAGTTCCAACACCCCTGCCGCCGGCAGGGACACCTCACACTAAACCATGCCACCCAAGTCTCTGTCCAAACTGGCCTTGAACACTGCCAGGGATGGAGCATTCACAACTTCCCTGGGCAACCTATTCAAGTGCCTCACCACCCTTACAGTAAAGAAGTTCTTCCTTATCTCCAATCTAAACTTCCCCTGTTTAAGTTTTAACCCATTACCCCTTGTCCTATCACTACAGTCCCTAATGAAGAGTCCCTCCCCAGCATCCCTATAGGCCCCCTTCAGATACTGGAAGGCTGCTATGAGGTCTCCATGCAGCCTTCTCTTCTCCAGGTTGAACAGCCCCAACTTTCTCAGCCTATCTTCATACGGGAGGTGCTCCAGTCCCCTGATCATCCTCATGGCCCTCCTCTGGACTTGTTCCAACAGTTCCGTGTCCTTTTTATGTTGAGGACACCAGAACTGTGCACAATACTCCAAGTGAGGCCTCATGACAGCAGAATAAAGGGGCAGGATCACCTCCTTTGACCTGCTGGTCACGCTCCTTTTGATGCAGCCCAGGATACGGTGGCTTTCTGGGCCGCTAGGGCACACTGAAGCTGGCTCTTGTTCATTTTCTCATCGACCAGCACCCCCAAGTCCTTCTCCACAGGGCTGCTCTGAATCTCTTCTCTGCCCAACCTGTAGCTGTACCTGGGATTGCTCCGACCCAGGTGTAGGACCTTGCACTTGGCATGGTTAAACTTCATGAGGCTTGCATCAGCCCACCTCACAGGCGTGTCAAGGTCTCTCTGGATGGCATAGAATCAACTAGATTAGAAAAGAGCTTTAAGATCATCAAGTTAAGACAGAATGACCAGCAATGATAAAAAAATAAGTACTATTTCCTTTTACTTATCACACTATGAAATTATCTGTCCTTAAATTACTACTCAAAGTATGCTGTCCATGATTATCCTGTACTTTTTATGCCCTCTGTAGGGTACACATGGCGGTGTTTCGCAGCACAATGTGCCTTGCAGAAGTGAATGCTGTGTTTGTACTGCTGAGCAGCTGCCTCCCTTTAATCAGCCTAAGGTGAAGAAACTGCTTCCCTCCTCTCACTTCCATCTCCACCTCCCTGCTGCCTTTCACAGCAGACAAATGGGATGGAACTGCTGTGCTTGTTTTCCTCTCTACCGTAGTGGACCAGCATTGGAGAAAGGGAATGAGTTCATATCAGCCAGTGGTCTGGTTTGACACAACCTACCGCTGTTACCAGTCCTTCATTAAAAAATAACATCAGAGGAGCTGTAACTATGGCTATCAAGCAAGAATATGCGAAAGTCCATGACTTAGGAACTGAAGTGAAGGTCAGTGAACAGAGTTCTACGATTCTCATAAATGGCTGCAATACTACACACCATTACTCATCAAAAAGTTGGCAGAGTAATGGTGCCTAATACCATTAGGTAATCCTAATGAATTCTCGTGTAATCAAATCTAATCTCTGGACGAGTTCAGTAGGCTGAGGACAGTGAATGGCCAGAACGTCTGGTGCACTCTGGCAATGACATAAGGACTGTCACCAGGGCCAGTGGCAAAGAGCTTTGCCCACTGAATACTGCCAGCAGTTACGCCAGCAGCATGCCTTGAAATACCTTCATTACTGAGTGCTAAGTAAGAGTAGCAGCAGTACATTAGAAACTGCATGCAGTGTATGACATAGTTTTGGGGGGGTTCCCACAGACAGAGTGTCTGGTCCCACAGCTACATTTAACCTGACTGTGTGAAGTTCCGAGAATATGAGATGCACAGGAGCAGGCAGAAGAGACGTGGGGACACTCTGCTCTATCCCAGCCTGCAGATCCTCAGCTTGTTGTCCAAAGAGTTGTACACATCTCTCCACACCTCCACAACAATCATGTCCCTACAACAATCGTGCTCCTGCTCCTTCTGCAGACTGTCAGTCTTGTGATGTGCAAAGGCTGCGTTTCTTCCCATGGAGTATACCTGTGGTCAGTTCTTCAAAGGCTGTGGAGTTCATGCTACTGAAGGCCCTTCAGCCAAAAATACTCATCAAATACTGCAAAGAACTTGCTAGATTTGAAGGGGTACCAGTGAAGACAAGATAATAATGAAAATTCCCAACAGTGGAAAATGCTTTCATTTCTCTTTAGAAACTTGCTTAGGGATGCTGCTGCAGGCATGGTGAGTTCATAAGGTTCCTATAATCTCACAGCTTTAGGAAGAAAGGAAGCCGTGGGACAGTCTGGGAATGAAAAATTTCCCACTCAGAAGTCCCACTCTGTGCCACTTTAAGAGTTATTCTCCTAAAGCAACTGTTTCACTGATAATATGAACTACAGAAGGCGGACCCTGAGACAAGGAGTAGAGTCCTGGCCTTAGATCACATGCTCGTAGATAAAGAGGGTCTAAGGAATGAGACTTGCCCAAGAATTCAGAGAGGAAATAGCGGAAAAAATCCCCAAACAGCTGCTTGGTAGATATCATGTCAGTCTTCAGAATGCTATAAGATGTTTAGCCCAATCCCATATGTGATTTCAGTCACAAGAAAACACCTTGTAATAGGTTGGGTGGGTTTTTTGCTGTTGAAGAACTCTGTTACTTCTTTTTGAACCTTATTCTGGTCCATCACTACCTTATTTGTAGCAGTTACGTGAATTCAACATTGATGAAAGATGTTAAGACAAAGTTTGAAGTCTTTTATTTGCAAAGAGTATGAACAGTGTTATTTTATGTTGCCAAATTTGCAACTATCTCTTGATTTCTTTGGACTCTTTTGGACAAAAAGCACTCCAGCCTGCTCGGTGGGTTTGCACACTTTTTTGTCTCTGCATTTGGTTCAGCTGCACAATCAGCAGCCCTGGAAGAAAAATGAGTGCAGAAGTATTCCAGGCAGCCACCAGGACTCTAAGGATCAAACTGTCTAATCCTGCTCGTGGCTGGTCTTCATAATGAGGTAGACGATCACAAAAGCTTCCCGTTGCCAGAGCTGGCCATGCCAGCACTGCAGCACTAAATGAAAAGCACTACAGACAACAGGCACAAACGCCAGGCAAAATCTCACCTTTTTGGCTAAGTGTTGAAAAGTCTCATTTCTATATTTTAATATTGATGAAATCAGTGTCTTAATCCTGAATCATGGTGCACTCAGGGTGCGGAAAGGGATAATTAAACCCTGTGTGGGAGATTAGCTGCCTGTGAACAAATGACTTAGAAGCACAAACACAATCAATACATGACACCAGCAAAAGTTCTCAAGCGTCCTCAGGATTAAAAACTGGAAGTTGGATGTTGCTCAAAAGCAAATTGTCATTGGAATTATTCCATCTAGTCCCCTGAGAGAAAAGGGAACATAAACCTTCCTGATGGAAGTACACAAATGATGCAGAAAAGAATTATAGGAAAACAAGCAATGAGAACGAGTGGGCAAGATACACTAGAGGACCATCCTCGCTCATCAGAAATTAGCTGGTTTTCTTCAATTCCATCATTACACAGCCAGAGTCCCACAGCTTTAATAAGGGGAAGTTATCCTGCCAGACTGTTGTCAGTTCTAGGAGATCATAGAATTTGGATATCTGGATTTTGCCATAATTTCAGTAAATTGCATTGCAAATTTGGAAGGAGAAAGGAAGTTACATTTACTTTGCATTTTCATAGAGATTCATTCATGCACAGGGCCAAGACCACTGCTTCAGCATAAAAGGAATGTTTACATTTTCTGACCCCAAAGCAGCACGGGTTGATTTTATGATTAAATTTGTATTCATTTGTTTTCCTGCACTCTGTTGCCTTTCAAACTATGTCACAGGGCAAAAGGGACTAATGATGGATAATTGAAATCCATCCTTGTGAAGGCTGCCAGCACTGTTATTCTACACACAGTAAAACCCATACAGCAAATACAGTTGTGTTCCTTTCCTGTACCAATACAAAACAAACAAAAAAAACCCTCCTTCACTATGGTCATGCTTTTTTTTTGCTGCAAAGTCATAATTTGTACAGGAAAAAATATATATTAAATATTTTGTATTAATATCCCACAGAATAAGTAAAGATTGCTTAGTGGAGGATCCAGAAAAAGATCCATTCTGTGGACAGTCCTGAACAGAGTATCTCACAAAAAGTAAGGATTTTCATGTACAGCACCAAAATCTTCAACAAATACAGTGAAATGCAGGGAAAATGAAGGAAAACAAGCACCTTACCCCAGTGTAGAAGGTATTGACAATTGTGGATTGAGACAGCTCACCATCCCCTGCCTTAGGCTATGTCCCTTGGCTGTGCAACAAGTATAAGGGAGTGCAAAAAGCAGCACCTTTCTGCCTGTGAATGAGGCAGCAGGACTTCAGATTTATGTCATGCAAAACAGCCAGCATCAGCACCTGCTACTCCCCCAGCCCCTTAGTGGGGGGACAGTGAGTGGGAAGAGCCTTTGCTCGGATCACAAAGACCCAGTCAGCCGAGCTGGCACAGAGTGGGGTAGTAATCTGCTTCTTGCTACTAACAGCAAATTGCTACCTCTCCCAAGAGCAAAGTAGGAGGCCACTGTGCCTCTAGAAAGTATGTTTCCATTCCTCTCCTGCTTGGCTTGTACACTGCTATGTTGCCATTCAACTGGGTTGTTACAAAGCGCTTCTCAGACACCTGCACCGAAAACAAAACCCCAAAAAATTGCAGGTAGAAGCGTTTGATGTTCACCTGGATAGAAAAGGTTTCTCCTTCTCCCTCACCAGTGGTATTTCCCACTCCTTCCATGTGATGCTTTTGCCATAAAGACTGTGTTGTACTTGATATAATCCATTTTGTAAGTGTGAAAAAACAAATTCCCAGGATAGACACACAGACAGAAGTGCCGGAGGAATTTCCCATTTCTTTATTTTTTCCTGTGTCCTTATCTTGAAATGGCATCGAGTTGCATCATCCCCCATTAAGAGAGGGAATGAGGGTACTCTGAGGAGGAATGCACGCAGCCTACATTACACACTGCTGTTGAGCACAGTCATAGGTGTAAACACGTTTTGGGCCTCAGACCTGCACCTTGTACGAGTCTCTGACATTAACGCTATCTGTATGCTGTGGGCTGTCCTTCAGCAATCTGCTGCAAAAGAGAGGAAAAGACAGCGCCTGAATCAGACATGAACAGCATCAAGGCCTCAAGAACACTCTCCCTGGTGCAAGTTACTAACAATGATTTCCAAGAGAGTTTGCAGAAGGGCCAGTCCTCGCTTCTGAGTGACACCTCCACAATTCGGACTTCCCCTCACTATGAGTATTGCTAACTAACGTCACTCGTCAGCTATAATGACCTCTGATTGTAGGTTTTGACATCTCAAAGTAGGAGTGCTACAGGTAACATCTACTTCCCTTTTTTCTTCCCCTGCGGAGGTGAAAAGAGCAGTAAATGGCCATGTTGTGCCAAGAAATTACACTGATGTGCAGTTAAGAAACTGTCTTTGGGAACACAGACCTATCTGCATTCACTTCACATAGGTATCTTTCTCAAGACAGTTAACTGTAACAAGTACTGGACGTACATCTTGAATAAACCTAAATACCCTATATAAACACTATGCATTAGGTACCAGAGCACTGGGCGCAGCGACTCTGCAATAGGACAGGTCCGTGTGCTTTACTTAGGCCGTGTTTACCTCAGCACCCCGTTATCTTTAGGGCGGACAGGACAAGTTCAGATCCCCTCAAGGCAGGGCTGCAAGAGGCGGCACGGCACAGCCCTGCCTCCCTCGCTCCCGCTTCCTCACTCTCCTCACGTACCTCTCGCAGGCAGAACCCGAGCTCTCCAAGGACCTGCGCGGTGTGAGCGGGCCAGCCCGGCGGGGCAAAGCCGCTTATCATGAGGTGCGTCCCGCGGGTGGGAACGGCTATAAACACACAGCTCAGGCACGGCAGCCCTGTGCTGCTGCCCCTTTAAGAGGAGGCCCATCACCTGACCGTGGGGGTAGGTGTGCTTCCGCTAACATGGCTGCGCCCGCTGTAGCCGGCGCTTGGTTATCCCGCTGTCGCTTTTTGCTGCTGCTGGGGCTGGCGGTGGCCGCTGGGGAGGCAGAGCCCGGTGGGGACTGCGGGTGCAGCGCCAGCCGGAGCCGCGGTGACGCGCGGGAGGCGGCGGCGCGGCGGTACTCGGCGGTAGTGAGTGGCGGACGGAGCGCTGGGCGCGGACCGGTAAGCGGTGGGGCGGAGTGCGGTGGCTGCGGCCGTGCCCTGAGACGGGAGCCGTACGGGCCGTAGGGCGGTGGCCCGGGGGGTGTTGGAGGTTCTCGGGCGAGCTTCTGTGCAGAAACTCGTGTGGAAGCCGATCTCTTGGGTCGGGGTTGTGAGGGCAGGGCTGAGGCACCGGGGCCTCCCTCGCTTTTCCCGCCCTTCACCTCAGGGAGCCCGTGCATCTCCCTCGCCGTGTGGATGCCCCCGAGGATGAGGAGAGGCCTGGGCTGTGCTGGCCGTGTGCTACTGGCCTCCCCCATCACCCCTCAGCGCTCCTCCCTGTGCAAGGAAGGTGACAAACGGGTTGTGGGTGTCTTTCTCGGTTGTTTGCTTTCGCAGGCCTCCCCCTGCCTCGAGCTGGTTACCATGGCGATACGTATCCACCTGAGCGGGGTTGTGGTTGCTGTACAGGCTGGTGAGGTGATATCTCTGCTAGTGAATTCCCATACTTGGTGAATATCAGTTTTCTGATCTGTTTACCCCCCTTGCTCCATCTCTTTTTAGGTGTCAATGAAATTGAAACGCTGATAGGTTATGTGCCATCTCTTCTGTGTTTTTCAGCAAAGCCATCATTTATGTATCCTTATCTAGGTATCCTTTCAGGCTTGCTTTTAGTGAAAGTCTCTTCAATTGCTTATTCCATTCTGTTGCTCTTGGTACTCTTCTGAAAGACACTGTCCCGTGCTCAGTATGCCTTCTTGATGAAGGCAGTGCTTAAAGTGGGTCAATGTGCTATGATATGCTATGACAGTGCTTACTGCAATGGGATACCAAAGCTTTTTGTGTTATTGGAGACCAAATGCCTCAGTATATGAGATATCTTCAGTTATTAGGAATGGGATTGCTGCTTCTTTTCAGGGAAAGTGTTAGCAAACTTTGGCAGTCAGAATTATAGCATAGCAGACTTGGATCTTGCTCTTGTGTGAGATGGCTTGCAAATGGGGTGTTTAGTGCTCGGCAGCTGTGTCAGGTTGCAAAAAGCCTGTGTCGTGCAGGCAGTGTGGGAACCTACCAAGTAAAGGGAGGGGTACTCAGTGGTTTTGCTATTGCAGGCTACAATTAAGGTATTTGATAATATATAAAGAGTATGAATCAAATAATTCATATTGCACTTGGGCCCTGTGTCGCTAATATATATTTAATGTAATAAATATTGGCATTTCACTGTGGGTCTCACTGTGAAAAAAAATGTTTCACTCTTGCTTTATAGAAGGCAGCTGGCATCTTCAGTAATATGCAATGAAAAGTAATTGCTCCTGGGTTTAAAGCTATGTCCACAGCATAACTTGATTATGCTTAGCTAGAAAATGCTTTTACCAAAAGGGAAGTGAGGGAAGAATTGGCTTCTCCTTCAACCACAGATGGGATTAGCTGTTTCCACTGCATTTTTAGAGCTGGGGAGCTGGCATTTTAATGGGTCTGCTCTAAATTGCAACAATACTTTTAACTAAGTATAATCATAGGCAGATGCGGTCCCTGTTGTTCAAGTTGAGCTTTGAGGACAATGAACTGCATGCGCTAGTTGAGTAATACAGTGAATTTGCAGACACTTATTCTTGCACACTCTACCTAATACAGCCAATGACATATCTGTAAGGTGCTGCTGTTTGGTTTCTGCCTCTATAGTTCAGCTTTGATATTTCTTGGAGATCAGTCCCTTGGCATTAGACACCTGTGTTTTAAAACTGGATGTTACAGCTGCTTCATTAACCGTACAGGTGTGGTTTCTGGATGTCGATGCAGAAAATCTGTTCTTCATTTAGTGTTGTATTCCATTGCTCTCAGGCTGAGGAGTGCTGTCAGACATCTTCTCAGCCTATGAGGTGTTATCATAAAGCTGAGTGTCAAAAGAGGGCCCTAATTTCTAAACATGAGGTGGAGCTGTGAAATGAGCCTTGCAAGGGGGATAATCCTGTGGAATCAATATTTGATGTCAGTCAGGCACAACACTAGTGGACATGCAGAAGTCTTGGCTGTCACTGTATGTGAACAGCAGGTTTCCAAGGAAGCCCATTCCTAGCTGAATGTACACCTACAATCTGCAGAGATGGTTCAGGTTTTGGACATGAATGCTAGGCTGAAAAGTGAGAGTTAGTTCTTCACATGCTGTTAGACAGCAGCTCACAAGTGAGCTCCAGATCTTGCTTTGAAGACTACTTCAGGGAGTTGTTTTAGCTACAGTGAGTTGGAAAGAGATTGGAAGGAAGTGGTGCAACTTTGTGCCACGTTGTCATTCCCTAAGTCCTAAAAAATGTAAGCAAATTTATCCTGAAGCCCTTTTATGGATTCGGTTAAAGACAATCTGTAAGTGCTCAGATTCTTTTTAGTGAAGAAAAATTATGAGGATGCAGCTAGCTTTAACTGTGGGTACTTCAAAGGAAAAAACTATTTATACCACTTCTTACAATGCCTGTTGCAAGTTAAGTGTTGCTGGGAGAGACCCAAGCAAAAGAAGACCTCTGTAGTGGAGAAAAAAACAATGACATTGGATATGTTGGGTGCTTCAGCTTCTCTAAGTAGGGAAAGGTATTGAATAGTTTATGTGAACTTTTTCTGATCATTTGGTGTGCTGGTAGTGGTGTAACTACATAAATAACAGTAAAATCCAGAAGCTGGAAGGTAACTGATGATTCTTTTTGTCTTCCTATTTTACGAGTTGCTGTGGGCACTGAGATAAACTGTGCTTGTGCAAGCATCTAACTTCATGAAGAGAATCTTGTAAAGTAAGAGAAAAATCCAACTACAGAAGAATCAAGGTCCTATAATCTAGATTGTGCTGCAAAATGGCTGTATGAACAAATTCCAGAGTTGACCTTCTGTGACCCTGCCTTGTCATCTAAATAATGTTACATCAGTTCACATTTTTACAACCTTACCTCTGCATTCTGGTTATGTTTAATATGGCCATTGCATAGGGTGTTATTCCACTGTGTTTGAACTGTTACATATCTAAAACTCAGTCTTCTTGCTCTGTCAGAATTTAAACTAAATTTCTGGAGCAGTGTTGGAAGTGTGCTAGTCTGGAAACTTATGAGTGAATGTTTCTGTTGTTAGACTTGAATTTCCTGCATACCAAACAATAGGATTTTGCAATAAACCCCCACTATCTCCTAGAATGGGCTTTGTTCATTTCAGGTTCTGTCAGTGTTCCAGCTGCTTGAATTCCTTGCAAGAGTAGTGTGTAATCACAGATCACTGCCAGGGTATGTTCAGGTGCCACGGGATTTCCTGCAGTGGATGCTTACATCGGTGCTCGATGGCTTTCTTGGGGCTCACCCACTCAGAAACCTCTTGCCAGAGGTGTGAGGTGGCTGAATTCAGTGTGAGTTAGGGGATGAGGGTAGCTCAGGAATCCCAAACAGAAAGCAGAGGGAGTTTTCGTCTCCAGTTCTTTGACCTGTTGGTGATGAGTTGGGTGACTTCTTGGTAAGCCAGCTCTTGTGCAGTCAGCCCTCGAAATATCACCTGCCCATCAGGAATATTTTACAAAGTCCGAGCTGTCATTCCTTATTCCAGCACAAGCTTCTGAGCAGGGACCATGGATGCTCTTGTTTTTTGGGTGAGGAGTGTGTTTCTCTGTCTGTGGTCCTTTGTCTTCTTGGAAAGAGCCTACTAAAACTGAAGGAAAATGTGTTCTGTTTCTCTGGAAACTGGCTGAGGCCTTAGAGGGGAAAAACATCACTGAAATAGTTAAAATATTATCCTGTTATTTGTCCTTCTGAATCTTGAGGCTCTTGCCCAAGGCCGGTCTCCCAGAGGAGCAGGACATAATTGACTTGAAAGTTTGCCTCATTTCTGGCACACCGAGCTGCAGGTGCTCTGTGTACCTGCCAGTTAGCAGCATGGTTGGTAATAAAATGCTGCACGTGCCTGTCATTAAATCAAAACCCATTTGTAGTTAGTATGCAAACAAGCACAGACTTGTCCACAGAAGAGCACTTCACAGTTTTGTAATTTCCAGATTATTCATGGGTGCATCGAGCCTTCCTAGGAATAGAGTGAAATACCAAAATGTTTCATCTGGAAATGAACAGAAAGGACCCTGAATTATTTCTTGGCTCTTAGGTACCGCAGGAGAACATGTTTCTCCTCTAATATTAGAGCACAAGCACCACCCTCAGTAAAAGTTCTTAATTACCCAGACATTCATGCAAATGGGGGTTTTATTCTCAGTTTAAGTTCTGCTTGCTATTTCTTCCAAACAGGAGGTGTTCAAGATGACAGTTGCCATTTTGTTGTGCTGTTTTTGTCAGTGAAATGCTGCTTGAAGCAAAAGTACCTCCAAAGATGAGGTGAAGGATGAGTAAGGCTGGTACAAGGCTTTTCAGTCTTTTATTTTCATCATCTTTTGGGTGCTGTTTTCTCTGCAGATGGTTGCTATTCCAGGAGGAGTGTTTACAATGGGCACTGATGAGCCTGCAATACAGCAAGATGGAGAGTGGCCTGCTAGAAGAGTTCACATTAACAGTTTCTACATGGATCAGTATGAGGTCAGCAATGAGGAATTTGAGAGATTTGTGAATTCTACTGGGTACGTTACTGAGGTAAGGCAGAAGGGTGTACAGTCTCCTATCATCTTTCTTTGTGTTGGCAAAATCCCCATTAAACACTTAGGCTTTCCTGCTTTGAAGACTGTCACAATACTTGCTTGGGATTTGCATGCTAGAATGTTTCTGATATAAGTCAAGGAGAAATGAAATTGTCTTGCCTTGCTGCCCAGGGGTCTGAAAAACCATTTAGATTCATGCTGTTGCATGTAGTAAGGGTCTTCATAGCTGAACTAATATCTTCCCTGCAGCATGACTGAGGCAGCCTGGGTGAAGATAACAGATGGCTCAAGATGTCTATGCAGGATGTTTTGGGTTGGTTTGTTTGGCTAGGTTTTTTTGACCTTTGGGTCCTAGGACATCTTTGCCCCAGTGCAACTGTGTTAGATATCCTAATATCTAATACCCTAACTATATTATATCTTCCTTATTTTAGAGGAAAAGGGAAGAAGGGTTTTAAAAACTGATGATAGCTGAGGCTTCTGCAAGCTAGCTCAGTGCAGCTACTTGCTAATGAGCTGAGCAATAGAAAGCCCTGCTGTCTGAAGAAGATATAATAGCACGTATAATAATAGTTTTGTGCCTGTTGCTGGGAACAATGAACTAAGAAAGAATATGTTAAGGTTCTTCCAAGAAAGAAGCTACCTGTGCCTGAGGCTCTGATCTTTCTTGACAGTTGACTGTTCCTACGCAACACTTATGAAACTCTGACAGGCCTTTTAGGCAAATAAAAGCCTTGGTAATGATCAGGTCTCTAAGGAGGCACTTTGCAGAATTTGCTTGATAAACTGGTTCTCATTTGGAAGACAGGATCCTTCTGGTTGGATGAGGGGCTTTTATCAGCAGTTTTTAATTCTTACCTCAATAATTCTGGAAAATAAAGTTGCTTAACAGTTTTGAGCTTGAACAGGGCTTACTTGCTACAAACAGCTTCGGGCATGAGCACCCGTGCAGTGATACTGAAACATACTGCTGCGTCAGGTGGAGTTTGTTTCAGACCATGATCATGGCTCAACTTGGGTAGTTGGATGCTCCACTTGGACCATCTCCCTTCCCACCTTGCATGGGTACCCCTTTTCCACTGGATTTGGGAAAATAAGCTCGGAGTGAGCAGCACTGATTCTGCAGTGTTTTTCTGTGGGGATGCAGCTGAGCAGGTTTCTGTGTATTTGGATAATGCCCACATTACTTTGGGTAAATAGTGCCAACCTACTTGGTTTTCATTTATTAACTGAACTCCAGTGGCAGATGAAACCTGAATAAAGAAATCCCCAGGTGTACTGCCTTTTGTTGAACCAAAAGTGTTTGTTAAGAAACTTAAAACAAACAAACAAACCCCCCCCCCAAACAACAAGCAAACAAAAGAATCAGAGAAAGCCCCTGATTCTGTCAGACTGAAATCCAGGCTTCTTTAGGTGATTCCTGTTTGTCTCTGGGTCTTTCAGATGGGGCAGGAGAAGGGAGGGGGAGGAAAAGGTTGGTTTGTATTTTTTGATTCTTTGATGAATTGGTTTCTGTCTCTGTCTGGTGTCTCAGATTGGGCAAAAGAGCTAAATGAAGTCTTTATTTCTTCACTGTCCCTTCTGAAACTGAAAATACAAAGATTAGAGTTATATGTTAAAACTCATTGCAGTTTGGGTGGTGAATAGGATCCTTCTTTGAAGCCATGCTTCTTGAAGAGTTCTGAGTGTGCAGAAGCAGCTTGTGATGATCATTCTCAGTCTTTGAATACCTTAATATAATGAAGAAGTTCAGAAGAACAAATGTGTTGAATTATGATAACATGTTTTAACTTCTCTGGTATATCAATTCACTTAATTTACGGGGGGGGGACGGACCTTTTATTGGTATTATGTACTGTGATCCATTGAAATTATTTGTATTTTTTTTTCTTTTGGCTTTTTATAATGCCAGATGAAATGATACATAGTGCTAGTGATGGTGAAGGAGCAGTAAGTGACAAGGCTTAAGCCTGTTATTTTAGTTTTCCTGAAGGAAAAATAAGATAAATGAAAAATGCCCTTGAATATTAGGTTATTGACTGTAGTATTTTAAAGCAGTTGAGACAACTAGAACTCCATTTTTAATTAATAAAAGTAAAAACAATCACAGAAGCTCTGGGAGCTGCCATCTGTCCAGTGGCTGCTGAAGAACCATGATATCCAGAGATAAAATGTCTTTTCTTTTCTGTTTCAAAATAGGTTCCCAGAAAGAGAGCTCTAAACTTCTATTAGAATTTTCTTATCCTTAGTAAAAGATCGCTGTAAATGTGAGTGGCATTTTAAGAATAACATTCCCTTGATGGTGTGGTTGAATCCTGCATTCTTTCTACAGGCAGAGAAATTCGGCGATTCCTTTGTGTTTGAGGGAATGCTGAGTGAAGAAGTGAAGGCTGATATCCACCAAGCAGTGAGTAACACAGCAGGGTAAAACTTGCCAGTCACTGGGGTAGATGTGTTAGCAATTATGGCAGCAGTATCTCAATTTTGTGATGCTCCCAAAGCCATGTACAAAGATGGGGTTTAAGAAGGGGTATTTGGTGTAGAATAACAAGACTCCTGCAGATGTGGGAGATTTATGGTGTATTCTCTGCCCTTTATTCATTTTTCTTCATTGTAAAAACCCAAACAATTGAAAAAAACCTCCTCATTAGCCAAAGTTTAGTACCAGCCTCTTCTTGTCTTTTTTTTTTTTTTTTTGCTTCCTAAATGAGAGGTATTTAGGACTGTAGTAAATGGTGCAGATACAAGACTGTTTATTTGTATTACATGTGAGACAGGGATGCTTCAGAAACTCAGCTGTCAGTAGTGGCTCTACTGAGTCATCTGCTGTGTAGGTGAAGAACAGGAGTGCTTCTGGCTCCCAAGAGCACATGTGCATGTGGCTGGCATGCTCTGCCAGTGCAGTCCAAAGAAAGTGGGTAAATCCCAGATCCTACCGGTTTAAGGAAATGAGGATAATCCAGGTACCTGATACGACAGCAGTGCTTGCGTGAGTGCGTTTTCTAGGTTAACTCAAGGCAAATGTTCCAAAGAAGAGCCATTTCTATGGCAGCCCTGAGTCTATAGGACTCCTTTTTGTACTGATTGGCTTAAGTTTACTGTTTTTCCTCCTTCTTTGCAGAATATCCTGTATAACTTGCTGCTTTTTCAGTTCCCTTAGTCTTGCTAGGGTTACATAGTAATGCTGGCAGGGACAGTGCTGATTAAACTGGAGCTGATCTAATTTTCCTCTTGAGTGGAAGTGAATATTGGTTAAAATAAATAATATTAGAGCTTCCCTGACCTGCCCCTCCCCTTCTGTGCTGAGCTTTAGGCATCATTTCCCTTCTCCTTAACCTTAGCGGGTCACTCAACCTTTACAACTCCAGGTAATAAGCAGATTATGACTTGTCATCTCCTGGATAAATTTATCTACTTTGAGTAGAAGTCTGGACAAGATGACCTCTTGAGGTTCCTCCCCATCAGAATTATCCTCAGGTCAGGTTCCTCAGGAACATAGTGCATTTCCAGAACTCCTGTCCCATGCCTTTGAAAAGGCCTTAGAAATTAGGTATTCTGATATTCATAGTGTGGCAATTTTGGAGGGGTATATAGCTTCAAGTTGCATTTACTCTACATAGGAATTTCTTTGCTTTTTTTGTTAATTGTCTTTTGGGGTTGACTTGGCTCATTCTGCAACTGCTTGGATCATTGCAGGGAGTCAGGATTTACACAAGGCAGGAATAAGGTAGCAGGACTGAAACTGCATCAGTTGGCAATAGTTCAGGTAGACAGAAGTAAGCATCAAGTGAAACTGCACCTATATAGGAAGGCAAATTTTTGTTGCCACTTTTTGCACGTTTTGATGCTATGTAAGCAAAGAGAGGTGGGACAGTTTGAGATGAAATTATTTCATTTAATTAGTAGCAGAGTTTTGCTTAGGCATGCCATTTGATCCAAGGTGCAACTTCTAAGGTTTAGAGGATTATTATTTGTTATGACAAACAACTAGGAATAGCTGGGGCTTTAGTGTTTAGTCATTTATTTTTCTTCAAAAGAGTTTATCAAAGAAAATTTTCTTCCATGTGCATGGTGTAGTAACTTGGAGTAGTGAGTACTCCTTGTCCTACATAAACGAAGGGAAATCTGCAGAGTTTGATTTTTATCTTCAAAGGGCAGACAGTTGGAGGTTTTAGGAAGCCCGATGTGAATGTGTGTTGTGAATGACTGGCAAAAAATGTTTGGTTTTGCTCCCTGCTGCAAGGAAACAAAGATTGCGAGAAAAATTGATCTGATTCAGGACTAACATTTGTGTACTATGAGATAGAAGAAGAAGACTGAATTGGACTTCTTGAATACTAGCATAAAGGATGCTGAAGGTGGAATAAATCCAGATGGGCTCATCCCATCTTCACAACAGTCGGTATTAGAGAAATTCCTTTTGCTGCCCTACTTCTGGGATGCAGGAATCCCTAAGTCAGGCTCCCTGTTTTAAAACAAACAAACCCTAAGAATGCTGGTGGAAGCTCAGCCTTGGCTATTTGTATAAACACATACAGAGTGTTGGGAGCCACTTTCCTGGGTGTGTCAGCCAAATTTTTAAGTGTTGGCTCTGATGCTGACATAACAAGCATTATGCCAGGGAGCTGGACTGGAGCCCAAACTGGTCTTTTGGCTGGTTCTTTATGAAGGCTTTCTGTATTTGTTAAAAGTAAACTTCAGGAGTCTGTCCTTTTGCCATGTTTTCAGTATTTATTATTAAATCATTTTGTGAGTTGCTTGCATGCAGAGCGATGATAAATAGACACAGAGAGACTGTACTAATTATTTTGGTAAAGTGATCTGGAGAATAGTGACTGCCTGCCTTGTAGCTTGGCACTTCTTAACATTATGCTGGTGCTGTGGACAAACTTATGTTCTAAACCATGGTAATATTGTGAGGAAGTGAAAAAGAAACCAGACACAGCTTTTTTTTTTCCTCCTGTCTGCCTGCCTCCTCACCAGCTACATACCATGAAATCCAACTTTTAGCTAGGAACTTCTGTCTGCAAGGAGAAAGCATCAGAAGGCAGCTCCGTGGTAGAGCTGGAAAGAAACTCTTATGTCTGAAGAGACAGCTTAGAATTTCATCTCTATATGCTTCTGCTTCTCAAAACTGTGTCTTTTTGCTGCCGTAGTATGTGTTTGCAGTGAAAGGTGAGAGTGCTACATGGACCTTAGTTGTTTTGGGGATCTTTGGGTTTTGTGACAGTATGATTTGTACACTTGAACAAGCACACATCTTTTCGGCTGCAGGGAAGGGAAGTGTCACCCATGGGGATGTGGTGGTAGAGCATAATGTAGTCAGATGCTTCTCAGATAGCCCAATTCTCCATAGGCGATGCTTCTCTTGGCTAATTGAAACTAATAAAATGCGTTAGCAGTGTCCTATGGATCAAGATTTCAAGAAAGAGTTTCTGTTGATGATTTGCAAGAAACTTCTTATTGCAGATGAATCCCAGCTGTGCGGCAGTGGCTTTAAGGGTTCTGCAAAAGCAAATTCTTCCTATGGATCTTCAAGCTTGAATGAAACAAAGATAAAAGCTCTTGTTACATTGCTCAGAATGGTTAAGTTATACTGAAAGAAAAAATCAAATACTTTAAGAAAAGTGAGCACATTTTTAAACCTTGGCCTCTGCAGGGTAACTGTTCAACTGTAATCAGAAAACATGTACGTTGTGTGAAGTTGGTTTGCATCAGCAGACTGTAATGATCAGCCAGAGAAAAGATGAAGGCTTTTTTCTCAATGTATACCTTAGTCAACTAATACTATAGCTTGTGGTATGAACCTTCTTGAATCATAACTATCACCAGGAAAAGCAGAAATAAGTTATAACCATTGGTGTGTTACTGGTACTGAAGATCCACCAGATTGGTGGGGAAAAGGACTGTATTTTTACATTGCCTTAGTGGCTTAGATATGATTTGATTAGGTTTTTCTCCAGCTGAAGTACAGGGGTGCTTAATGCAAATGTGATATAGGCAGATCGATAGGACTGTGTATTTTAGAAGTAGTATTTCACACACAATGAAAGAACTGGGGAGAAGTGGAAATGAAGATACTGAACTAAGTGGTGTATAACAGTTCCTATAAATAATGTAGTGCTTCTTTCTGTTGAGGAATATCCAGGGGTTTTGCTCTATTTGCCCAGTTTGGTTTCTTCAGTTCTTAAACCAGACAAATTTATTATAGGCCTTCAAAGGAGCAGACAGCTAAATTAGAACAGAGGTGGGGCTGGTGAAAGCTAATGCAGGAGCAAACCAGCTTAGCACGTAGAATAATTGTTGGAGCTTTGGGTGTGCATTTCCTGGAGGTGAGGTAGTCTCCTAGATAGCCACTGCTAAAGAAATGTAGGTTGGACCTAACCTTCCTCTGGAAGGGAAGCGGTAAAAAGGGGTGTAGCAGCCAAGAGTTGAATTGTTCTAGATTTCTGGGAACTTGGGTTTAATATTGGCCTCTAGGTCTGCAGTGGTAGCGTGGCAGAGAGCGAAAAGTTAGCTCTGTGATAGATGAGGGCGTTGCTGATGGAATTGGTGAGGACTTCTGCAAATAAAAAAGGATTTTCTAGGGCCAGGGTAGAAGGTCCTTTGAAAGGAAAATATTTTGTGTGGGCTTAACCAGTTTTGATAGCTTCACATATTAAAATCAGTTCTCAGACCTACAGGTTAAAGGCAACTCCTAATTACTGTATTTATTACAGCTATTGAGTTATGGCCTTTCTTGGATATTTGGCCTTTGGTTTAGATCTCGTAGATAAAACACAGCCTAGAATTCCCAATAGCTTGGCACTTGGAGATTATTTTTTTTTTTCTTTCTTTCTCTTTCAAGAGAATTTGGGGGAATGGAAAAAGCTCAAACATTTTTATTATTTTATGATGCAACTCTTTTCCTGCTCTTTTTTCTCCCTGAGTTGAGAGGTAAGTAGAGTGGGGGGAAATGCATGCTCAGTGCTGCTATTCCATGGCATTGTAAAATGCCACTTATATGGGATTTTAATGTATCCTAGAGCAAAAAGCATGCAGATTGTGTCTTTGAAATGAGAAGGTACTGACATATGCTTTCCAGAGAGGGGATTCGAGAGCTCTTGCACATAATGGCAGGAGTTTCACTTGCTGTGCAGCTACCATGAAAAAGGTAAACAGGACAGCACTTACCAGGGTTGGAGTATAGCATCAGACAGATTTGCTCACTGGCAAATAGTGGGAACATTTTTTATTCTTGGCTTGTGGAAGATAGCAAAACTATTTTTTGCTCCTAGGCCAGATAAATTCTGCAGTGAAGAGTATGAGAGCATACAAATCTGTGTACTTCAATTGACTTTAGGGGTGTTGCATTTTTGGTCTGAGAATGCAGTGAAATTGGTTCACTGACAGACCTGAGCAAATGCT